GCTCTTATTCCTACTTCAAAGTAGGAATAAGAGCCTCCGGAAAAGGGCGCTTTTTCCGGAGGATCGGGGCCAGTGTAGACGCTCTTTTCCGGCTTTTCTAAAAGTCGGAAAAAAGCGGCGGACATTTTTATTTAAATGCCACGGGGGATATTTAAATCCCCCGCGGATTTCCCTACTACGATAGCTGAAATTAACATGCCGCTCTTATTCCTACTTCAAAGTAGGAATAAGAGCCTCCGGAAAAGGGCGCTTTTTCCGGAGGATCGGGGCCAGTGTAGACGCTCTTTTCCGGCTTTTCTAAAAGTCGGAAAAAAGCGGCGGACATTTTTATTTAAATGCCACGGGGGATATTTAAATCCCCCGCGGATTTCCCTACTACGATAGCTGAAATTAACATGCCCCTTCCGGAAAAGGGGCCAGTGTAGACGTAGCCCAGATGTTTTTAGAAACTTTTCCCAGTATACAGTATCTTTAGAATATCCAGGGAATTCAGGTGTGAATCGAAATTCCAGGGGACATGAGGCAGTTCGAGAATCTGACCCATCATGGACAATCCCATCTACCCACAAGCCTCCAATTCCCACAACAAACTAATCAGCCAGCCAGCCAAATCGAAAAAGAAAAGCTACCTTAAGCAGTATTTTTACCCTCGAGAAGGGAGTGCTGACTGCTATTGAGTCCACATTGATAGTGCTCAGATGCTACTGTGATGGGGAACAGTACAGAACAGTAACAGATTGTAAGTAATTAAATTGTAAAGTAAGTAAATAGAGTAGTTTTGAGTTCTTTTGCAGTTAATTGTGTGTCATCATTTGGCTCCTGTCAATGTTTTTCCACTGTTTTTCACAGATTGGGTTCTACAATGCTGTAGCCATCCCCTGCTACACCACACTCACACAGATCTTCCCTCCTGCTGGGCCACTACTCCGTGCATGCAGGTGAGTAGTAGTGCAAATTTTTGCAACATATATCACTTAGCTGAGTGAAAGCATGCCACACTACATATATGTGTGTCTGGAAATATATGCCTCTAAATTCCAAATTTTGCATGTAGACAAATATAAATATTCTCTAGCTAGTGCATCCAACACCTGGAGGCAGGAACTACTGGGTAGTTCAGCCAACACGAATCTTTGCATACAGCTATGAAAATGTATTTTATGTCAAAAATACCAGTAAACAAGCAGGTCCATGGCAATGTGTCCCCAGTACCTTCTTAGCTCTTCAGATCTTTAAGCAACTGACTGGCAGTGATTTTCTCTTTTGGCAGTGTAAAAGTAACATAAGTAAATCCCCTCTCTGTCCATCTACTCATGTATCTAAAATAAACAGAAGTGTATGTGTTTATGTGTGTATACACGATATAAATAAAACAAGATTCTAGGACTGTCACTCTGAAGCCAAGAATGTCTGAGCCAGAGCAAAGTTATGGGAACAGCTATAAGCTTGGCTGAAAGCTCTTGATTCAGAATATCACCAAGTTTATTCATCACTGGAATACACAATCTGTTATCATCCAGTTTTTGAGTTCTTCGCAATTTTGACTTTACAGATTATATTGACACAACAGCAAGGCATGTATCTGCCTTGCTATCAGCCCTAGACTAATGTGATTTCAGAGGAAACTCAACCACCTAAGTGATAGCAAAGTCTTTCAGTTACTAGCGAGTGTATTTGTGAAGTGGTGTGCACACACACACACAGTTTGTAGTGACACCACTTCTTAGCGTGATGGGAAGTGGTGATACTGTACCTAGATTCTTTAAGTATGAACTTTTGGAATTTGCTTTGTTAGAATTATCATTAGGTTTCCTGGACTACAGTGAGTACTGACAGGGGGTGTAATGAGAACACTGGTCCATTGCCACCTAGGGGTCTCTTTTGGCCAGGCTACTCTACAGGTCTATTCTAGCCTAACTTTGTTCGACTTTTTACATCAATGACTTGCCACCAACCCAGTCGCAGAAGTTCATGTCTGTAGATGACATTTGTTTCAGACTACAAGTTCTGACTTTCTCTGAGCTGAAGAAGACCCTGAGTAATAGCATTGCTACGCTGGCTGACTACTTCAAGACATGGTTCCTTCACTTAGCACCAGTAAGACAACCTCTAGCACATTCCACTTCCATCATGCCAATGCTAAGGGAACTAAACGTCATAATGAATGGCCAGAGGATGAAGCATGAAACTTACCCAGTGTACTTAAGTGAGACCCTTGATCAAACACTGACACCCAAAAGCCACTTGAGCAAGATAGCAGCAAAGGTCAACACATGCAACAACTTTCTCAGCAAACTGACAGGTTCTTCATGGGGAACAGATGATCCAAACCTAAGGATCTCACCCCACGCCATCTCGTATTCAGTACTAGAGCATGGAGTATAGAGCTGGTGAGCACACCCCAATTTGTTGACTGGCAAATCAACTCAACAATACACATCACAAGAACTTTTTGACTGATTCATCTTCTGTGGCTTGTATTTGTGAGCCACATTGCTCTCTTTTACATTGGGGGGAGATTTGCAGCTGGCAAGCTGCTTGAGAACTAGGTACTTGCCAGTCTAAGCTTGCCCTTTTTTAGCAACCTTTTTAGCCCACTAGCTACATGTTTTTCATCACCACACCTATGGTGGTCAATGCTGCCACACCAGAATGTGACCAGCCAAATCCCTGTGGCAGGAAGACTTGTGGTTGGTGTTAAGCACTAGTCAGTTCTTCATCACAGACCCTACTGCTCACCCGCCCAGCTTCAGCCTGCCACATCATCATTGAGCCCTTCTTATCCAATTCTGGAATGGGTAGGGCTCTTTGCAGCCAATTAGCACCACTAGGAACTTCCAAACAATCCAAGCTGCAGCTGCGATGGAGATCAAGCAGAGACACGCATTGTGGAGGCATGCCCACTAACTAAATTCATTGGTGAACTCCGAGAACTCCACTTGGCCACTGAGAATACATACTTGGCTCGGTGAATACGCAAACACCAAATAAAATAAATACTACTGTTTCTGAAACTCATTGTGATATAGGCTACTCCTGAATCTTTCCCACCTGTGTTTTCACATGCCTTTTTTTCTTTTGCATTGTCTCCTTTTCTGCATACCAGTTATAAGCCCATCAATAGCCTGAATGTAATTGTGGCAGCAAGACCTATTTCTGTCTGCTCCAGATGGTTCTATCTCCTACCATGGTTTTAATTATTACACTGTTTCCCCCTCAGTGGAATCTTATGTCTCATTCCCTTCAGAGTTGGAGGCTCTAAACTTCCTTCCTAATGCTAGAAACAAAAGGCTAAGCCCTGAGAATTTCAGCATAAAATTAGTTCCCTTAAATTTCCTTATAAAACTATTTGTAAACATTCTTAAGTTTACTAGTTTGTGAATCAGTTGTCTTGCAAAGGTAGCTTGTGCAGCCTTGTCACCTTGCTTAATTGCTAGATTTGTAATTCATGCTCAGGGTAGATTATTAAACAGTCATCCAGTAATATCAACAGCTGAAATCTAGATCATGTCTGGCTGGTCCACTGTAGCCTAAAGACAAATGATATATTCTATAACAGAGTTTATTCCCATGACAGGTTTTCTGAGCTATGCTCTTTTAAAAAAAAAACTTATTCAACTTCCTCAAAGGCTGTGTCTAGACTGCATCCCTTTTCCGTAAAAGGGATGCAAATTAGACACATCGCAATTGCAAATGAAGTGGGGATTTAAATCTCTCCCGCTTCATTAGCATAAAAATGGCTGCCGCTTTTTTCTGGCTCGGAGCTTCGCCGGAAAAAAGCACCAGTCTAGACGCGGATCTTTCGGAATATAAAGCTTGGGATAAGGGATCTTTCAGAAAAGGCTTTATTTTCCGAAAGAGCCACGTGTAGACTGGCACTTTTTTCCAGCAAAGCTCCGAGCCGAAAAAAAGCGGCAGCCATTTTTATGCTAATGAAGCGGGGGAGATTTAAATCCCCGCTTCATTTGCAATTGCGATATGTCTAATTTGCATCCCTTTTACGGAAAAGGGATGCAGTCTAGACACAGCCAAAATGTTTTAAATTTATTAAAATTCCAGATGAATTTGTTCATGAAATATTTTCCATTAATTGGGGGTCTTTGACATTAAATTCTACCTTTAATCAAAAATATGTCTTTAAATATTTTCATTATGAAATAACTGGGAAAGAAATCTTCTGAGATTACTTCTGCATGATTAATGGATTAACCTCAGAACTGGAAGCCAGGAACTCCTGAGTTCTATTCCCACTTCAAGTCACTTGTCTGGCCTTAAGTATGTTTTGCACTTATTTTACTAATATTTACATAATCCTCACAAAACTTGTATGATAGTTGAGCATCATTATTACCATTTTAGAGAAATGGAAACTCAGAATCAAGGAAAGTAAGTAAGATGCATAAAGTTAGACAGTGTATCATTGCCAAGACTTAAGCACTGGACAAATTAAAAAAGAAAGAAATATCATTGAATGAAGTTTCAAATCAAGTATTTTTGAACACAAAAATAGAAACATTTCATTTGAAAATGTCCAAATGAAACATTTAGGTTTTTGGGATTTTCTTATTCAACTGAAACAATTCAGTGAATTCAGCACAAGTTTGCAAAATATTTCATTAGCACCGATGGGAAAAAAAATGTGGCTGAAAAATTTCATCAACTTCTAGTCAGGATCAAGATTCCAGGTAGACCCCACCCTTTTCAATTCCTGGCCCCCTTCCCACTGAAGTAGAAATGTTTAAGACTTGATGTTCAGAGGTGTCATCCAAAATTTTACTTGTCGTAAGTGGGAGTTGGCCCAGAGTCTTTCAAAATAAATATGAACATCTTTTGAAGAATGTTTTTCTTCTGAGGCAGCATAATCAGATTCAGTCCTTTGGGGCTATATCTACACAGCAGCTAGACACCCCTGGCTGACCCATCATCCTTCTCATCTGGCATGTACTGCAGGGGCTCCATGTGCAGCCCCTCATCTACAGGCCCCGACCCCACAGCTTCTACTGGCCATAGTTCTCCATTACTGATCAATGGGTGGTTAGTGTATTAATTGCCAAAACAATAATGGAAGTCACGCCATAGAAATACGACACAGGTTATATCTTTGGCCTGCACAAACTCAGTAAGAAAATGAATGTATTACTCCACATGAAGAGGGAGGAAGAATACACTCAGATAACTAGGGTGTCATGCATATCGCTGTTTTAATTAGAGGCAAAGGACACTATTAATGTGTGTAAAACCAAAGTTTGGACTTTTGAAGGAGAGGATAGGCCAGGCTATAAGGTAATGAGCACTATCAGCCTCAAGGAAGGAAAATATCGTGCTTATTTGAATACCCTTTACTTTGGAGAAGACTAATTATTCAGTAACCCTAGTATCTAAAAGTTGTTGACAAAAAGAGGCAATGGGTATATAAATATCAAAGGGAAAACCAAGCTGGTATGTAACAGGCAAAATTGTCCCATTATTATAGTGTCCCGTTATCAACCAACCAAACAATGAAGGTGCCAATGGTTCTGTGTGTAGATTCTGGTGTTAGTACTCTTCCTCTCTAAATTCTAACTAATGGTCCTTATCTGCTTCCTTTCACTATCCAGTCTTTAGGGCTGCGTCTAGACTGGCATGATTTTCCGCAAATGCTTTTAACAGAAAAGTTTTTCCGTTAAAAGCATTTGCGGAAAAGAGCATCTAGATTGGCATGGACGCTTTTGCGCAAAAGCACTTTTTGCGGAAAAGCATCTGTACCAATCTAGATGCGGTTTTGCGCAAGAAAGCCCCGATCGCCATTTTCGCCATCGGGGCTTTTTTGCGCAAAACTGTTTTTAACTGTCTACACTGGCCCTCTTGCGCAAATACATTTGCACAAGAGGGCTTTTTTCCGAACGGGAGCAGCATAGTATTTGCGCAAGAACACTGACAATCTTACATTAGATCATCAGTGTTCTTGCTCAAATTCAAGCGGCCAGTGTAGACAGCTGGCAAGTTTTTCTGAAAAAGCATCTGCTTTTGCGGAAAAACTTGCCAGTCTAGACGCAGCCTAGGTGCTTACAGACTATCAGTTTTGCTTGTTACATACCAACTCGGTTTTCCCTTTGATATTTATATACCCACTGCCTCTTTTTGTCCTCCCCCTTCCATTCCCCTACTCCCCTCCCCATTTAATTTTGGTTCTGGACATCCAACACTCTGGTCATCTGAAGAAGTGGGCTGTGGCCTCAAAAGCTCATGATACCATCTACATGTTTCATTAGTCTTTAATGTGCAACCATACTATTTGTTGTTTTCTGAATTTGTCCTGTACAGACTAACCTGGCTACCCCTCTGAAGAGAAAGAAACAAGATAAATTAGTACAGTAGTAAACAAAAACCTGTATTATAGACCACTGTTATATACTTCATAAAATTATTTATGTAGGTATAACATAGCAGAAATTATTATGAAAAATTATTACATTTATGTATAGTCTTTGCTCTCTTTGCATTACCAGGGAAAATCTCAAACAATGGGAGAAAGTGACACGAGGAGAGGAAACTTCATTATGGATTCCATCCCAACCACATGATCCGCAGACCTCGGATTCACTTCCTGTGAAGATTGATGACTAAACAGCCGTGACAAATTTTTTTAACCCCAAGGCATCTCTCCTTTGTTCTTTTTTGGTTTGGTTTCATGGGGGGGGGGGGGGGGGGGGGCAAAATCTACAAATGCTAACTGAGAAGCAGATCTGTCTCTGAGGTAATCCCTACAGAGTTACCTCAGATAGGCAATTGTCTGCCAGTCTCCTGTCTACCATCACACACACAACGTAACCAGAGAGAGACTGACAATTCTGTTGTTTCAGAATCAGCTGTCAAAGCAAACTTGTGATATGTGAATATAAAAGACTGGCCTTTTCTCATAGGCTACATTGCTGAGGCCTTAATTCAAAACTGAAGGGAAAAAATATTAGGGGGTACTTTTAAAATTGTATCTTTCTAGTAAGGGTTTCAATGGTACTTTTATTATATTGTACTGTGGCTGGATTTAACACCAGTGTCACTTGGGAGTTCATGGCTATAAATAGAACATTTTACACATTGCTATTGTGAATGTTTATGTGTGATCTACTTGTAATCGGTTTGAAATTTAGCAGAAAACCTCTGGAGCTGTAACTTTCATTGAAGTTACAGTATTTGAATTATCTTGCTGCAGGCAGAAGGAAAAACAGCATTTAGGTTCAAAGCTCCAAAAACTCTATTTGGTATCACAGAGCAACCCTTTTATTTCTCAAGTTAAATGTTGAAAGCACTGGGTAGGGTGTTTGTTTCTTTGTAATAATGTGAAAAACTAGAGAGCTCATTCAGTCATACACTGTAATACTGGATATTTATCTCCAGTAAGGAGGGATGCATGTACAATTTCAGGCTGGACCTTTTTATCAACATTGGCTAAAGTAATGGGCTAAAGTTTGAATGTAATAGGAGAGATCTGCCTGCCTAGCTTTGTGTACATCAAGTGTTCATGCTAATTTTTTTCATGGTAGGGTTATATTTTAGAAAATACTAGAGAGACCTGTTAAACATACAATACTTTCTGCTGGAGACAGGAGCCTTGTCAGAAAAATAAGGTCTACAAGGTGTGACTGGTACCATCACTATAAAAGGAAAGTATTTTGCTTTGATTAGATTTTATGTTGCTCACTAATACTGTATGTTTTATATTGTCCCCTCCCCCAAAAAAGGGAAGCTATTTGCCTTTTGTAGGTGTGCTTTTTTTCTAGTTTAGCAAACATTTCCAGATTTAAAGCTATCAAACTAAGCAGAAATAGCTAAAGTGATTGAAGTGATTCAGTGGCAACATTGTTATAGAGTAAAAACAACAAGTAGTATGGTCAGCAGTTTAAACATAGTAACGCCTTTTCCATTCTGCTTGTTTGCTGAACTGCATTCATCTTATTAATTTTTTTAATTTAAATGTCATGGTCCATAAAGAATTTTGCCTTCTATTAATGGTCGAGCACAAACCAGTATATGTTTGTATATATAAATAGTATGTGATCTATAATCACATAATGTATACATAAGCCTTTGCAATAAGTAAAATAACATGAAGGGTTAGATGGGGGGAGGGTATCTGATTAAATATTTTTATTGAAGTTCAAATTTGAATCATAGTGTGGACCAAGCCATGTCTAGCAACATCCATACTAACACTTTTAATTTGCTTTACCATTACTAAATGATATAATTCTGTGCATACTCACCAGTGAATTATTTTGGAATGGAAAAAATTATAAGGGTGCAGTTTTATCAAACGAAACAATTAAGATTGTACTACATGTGTCCTCTACTTTATTCCTTACCAGTTCTGATTTAAATAACTTAGTTCATATATGTGTGATTGCAAGCAAAGACCTTTGGACACAATTTACGTGTAAATTTTGCAGCTCTGTGGTGGCCTCAGATGCAGTCTGTCTGTGTATCTGTGAGAGACCCAAAACAACTCAAATTGAAAATATTTTTCATTCCTCTAGCATATCTGTTATTACCATGCCCTTCTCCCTCTGGTCTTATCATTGTTGCAAAATATTTTTTGTCACATGCTATATTCATTTCATAGAAAGTTTGTCTGACTTCCAATCACTGACTGTAAAATCTAAATTAACTAGTTCATGCATCATTGAAAATGCTTGGCGGTATCATTTATAGGTGCTTGTATTGAGAATTGATATTAATACAGAAAATATTTCCCTAACAAATTTAGCAAAGTTGCAATAAATAGGTGTGTTAATGTGATGAGCAGCCATACTGGCACTGGACTTTTTGAGTAATCTGAATCACTTAAAAATATTTGTTATAGTTTAAGTGCTGTTAGCATTGATAAGACCAGTTACCCAAACCCCTTTTCTTATCCTCTGGAATAAGACTGGATAAAGGAGATCATATGGACAAAGACTATATTTTAGGCAACATCAAAAATAATAGTCTTAACTGGCAAAATTTGCTAAGTTGCATCAATTTATCCTATAGGCTAATTTATGGAGTGCAGTTTTAGGCATTCAGGTGTTTGACAGAAGTAAGCCCAAACTGGTATCCCAGAACTGAAAACGCTAATCCTAAGAAGTTTGAAGCTTCCTTTGAATGTTGTGACTCAGGTCCATGCTGAATTATTTGGTTGTCTAAAATTTCTATTTGCACTAGTAAATAAAACAATTAGACATGAGACACTGCCATTTTTGTGATAAAAATGTCAAATGAGTTTTTCTCGCTTTAAAAGTATAATCTCATAAAATGAGTAAGACCTTTTAAAATATTGGCTCATTTTTCCTAAAAGTATTCTTTCATTTATAGATTTTATTTCCAAAAGTGTTGTTTTTATTAAAGTTTTAATGACCTTTTCCCTTCTAAACACAACAAAAGAAAAAAAGGGATGGTTTCAAGCCATATTTGAGCATTCTTTTATATAGCTATAAGAAACTGAATTTGGGAAAGATGCATATTCAGCCATAGGTCCTGCTGATGCATCATGGAACATAATGAATGAAGAAAACATCGCCAACGTGTGAAAAGCAGACAGATAGTATTAGCCATTTTAGTTTTCATATAATATACTGTATATTCTATAAATGCTTTGGAAAATCTGTTGCTGCTGTGATCAAGTATTTTTGTAAAATGGTGCAATATTCTACTGTAATGGTTCAGCATGTTGCAGTTACATTATTATCAATTGTAGCATGTTAGAACCCTTATATTAGAATAATGTTCAGGGTTTAGTTTTTAAAATACTTTAGAATCAAATACTTTAATTAGATTCTAGGGGGCATGCAGTGTGGCGCTTATATTTTCATTTGGCACACAGTACTTAGGTATGTTTTAAATAATCTGCATGGATTGCACATTTAGAAGCAGAAATATTTGTACTAGCTATTTTGCTATTATTGTGTTTGGGTCACCTAGTGTTAAAATTATAAGGGCAGCTTATAGCATTATTTATCTAAAAGAAACACCCATGTCCCTTACCTGTACAAACAATTGCGACTTTCTTCAAGAAACTCATTTGCCTAAAACACTGTGATATAGTTGCCATTCTGTGAAATGGTGAAGTAAATTGTTCATTCTCAGGAGAGTAAGTGACTTTCTGTACTCTTCTCTATGGATACTCATCTTCAAATTTTAGGTTATGAAACCCAATCTAACAGAGGCAAATCACAACTATCTTTTGTCTGCTTGCTGACCAAAAACTGTGCTTGATTGTAATTTGGGTGTGTATGCTCTGTCAAAAACACAAAATTAATAATGAACTGGTTTGTACAGTATATCAAACTGGTTTGTAGAGTAGATCCATGTATATTTAAAATTCACAGGGGGGAGGGACGCAGTTCTGTGGAGAAGAAAGAACTTCAAAGTAACATTCAACTTTAAGACATCTAGTGAGCTGAAAATTTGGTTTTATATGAGACACATAAACTATCTTCTTTGTAAAAAGAAATGCAAGTGCAATAATTTAAAGAGGTCTTACCTTTGCATTTATAAATTATAAATACTGTACATGGTGTGTATTTTTTCATGTATTCATTTGCAGTCTTTGTATTTAAAAAAAACAAACCTAAACCTTTACTATTATGTTTGTACAATAGATCAGTAATCATTTATTATAATAGAGTTAAATTGTAAATAAATTAACAAACCAAACAGCCAGTACATATGCATATATGGTTGTCCTGTTGTGAAACCTGGTTCTGCTTTAATTGCTGGCTTTAGCACAGCAAAACAACTTCTGTGGATATGTAATTATACATATAAATATATGTATGATACATAAAATATATTTAGAAATGTTCATATTTTAATGGATATATATATATATATCCATATGCTTTGGTGTGAATATTACTGAATACAGAGTTTTTTAATATTTTCTATGTTCATTTTTTGCTGTTACTGTGAGTGAGGGAGAGCGATGGGGACTTTTTGTGGATCTGTGCGTATGTTTGTTGATATACTACAAATAAAATGCAAGGACAAAAGAGAACAAAAGGCAATGGAATCCATGAAAAAGATCAACATTTGATTTTCTGTACATATGACAACTTAATAGTTAAGGTGCATTTTTCTGAATATCTGCTGTTGCAGCTATTTTCTATAACAAAACATGTCTTAGTGTATATTAATTAAATATTCAAATTGCAGCCAGCTCCTCAGCTGGTATAAATTGCCAGAGCTACATTGACTTCCATGCTGAGGATTTAGGCTACCATTTTTAAGTCACAAATTTAATTAAGTATATTTACCATCAGTCCATCAGTTTCCAGCATCATGGAACTACTTATGTGTTGCTTGAACAGATTTGTGGCCCCTTTTGTCTAGACACAGTGATGAGGAAAGGGGGAAAAAAAATCTTATAATAGTTTGGGTACAAGGGTTTACTAATGAACCCTCATGGCCCAAACCCTGTTTTTCATGGCCTCTCCCAAGGTACAGTTAATTTTGAGGGGAAAGGTTTGTTTCCAGAACGAGCAAGGTTTGCTAAAACAAACCTCATGTTAGAAATGGCTGGACAAAATCATAGATTATTTTAAAAAGACCATATGAATGCACCTCGTTACAATACCTATTATTCTGCCACTCCTTTTATTACTGTTTATAAAACTGTATTACTCAGCAGTTCCAGACAGGGATTCTACTTGATGCTATACAAACACATCCTTGCTCC